CTCGGCAGGGCCTGGCCGGCAGCTGCAGCCAGAAGAGCCAGACGCGGACACGGAGGACGACCGCTCTGTAAGTGGGGGGCGCCCTCCCCGCCGGGCCGGGTGGGGCCGAGGCTGAGGACCGCCTGCTTCTCCCCGGCAGGTGACCGCAGGGGCCGAGCTGGTGCGGCCACAGCCCCAGGGGTCCTCTCCCGTCTACGAGTGCGTGACCGAGGCCGGCTCAGGACTCCTGGTAAGGCCGCAGCCCCAGGGGCTGGGTGTGCAGCGGGTCTCCAGCGCCCTGGGCCGACGCCCCCGGGCCGGACTGACGGGCAGTGTGTGGGGCGGCCCGTGCTGGTGTGCTGCCCCCCTCGCACCGCCCTCTGCTGCCCTCCAGAGCTGTGCCCGGGCAATGCAGCGGCAGGGGGCGGGCTGAGCCCTGCCAGCGGCCCGAGGCCAGTGCCCGCCCCAGGGCTCCGCTCCCGGCCTGGCGGCCTGCAGAGTTGGGACCGGCGGGCGCCAGGCTCTGGGCTGCCGTATCCGGGCCTCCCAGAGTCCCCCACGCGGGGCAGGTGAGTGACCCCCTGTCTGTGGCCGCAGGGGGACGCTCCAGGCAGGCCAGCCTCCTCGGGGAGACGGAGATCCTGGTGGCGACGGGATTCGGGGGAGTCGCGGGCCTCGCCCAGGATGAGCAGCCCAGAGGTGGGTGTGGCGCGGGAGCCGGGCCAGACGGCAGCACCCTCCCCACGCCCGTGCCCAGGAGCCAGAGCCCGGCCAGGTGCACCCACTGCCCAGAGGGGCTCTCTTGGCTGACCGGGGCCGGTGGCTAGCCGCCCGCTCAGGCCATGGAAGCCTCTAGACGGCGTGGACACCTGACGGTGGCCGCACTGCCCCCAGGCTGCCAGGTCTGCTCCCACCGAGCCTTCCCAGACGGGCGGCTCAGGCCCGCCCCCCGCACTGCTAGCCTCAGGCCCAGCTGCCCCCAGCCCGCGCTGGGGGGCGAGCAGGGGACCCCGAGGGCGGGCCTGCCGACGGCCCTGCGCCTGCTGGCCTGGACCTGGACGCTGGGGCCTGGCTGCTCCGGTGACCGCCGGCGGGGCGGGGCGTGCGGTGCAGCTCCAGGCGGGCTCCTCCTGAGTGCCCTCCCCGTGCGGCGGGGCAGGCGCTCTCCGTGGGGACGGCCTTCCGCGGCGCCCGGCCGGCCGGCCCATGGCCTCTGCTCTGCAGGACGCGCCGGAGGTGACGCTGGAGACCAAGGCCGAGGCGGGCGCCAGCGGCTACAGTGTCGCGGGCGGCGGGAGCCAGGGGCTGTTTGTCAAGCACGTGCTGAAGGCGTCCTCCGCGGCCAAGCTCTTCAACCTGAGGCCAGGTGCCAGACGCCCCGTCCCGGCTAGGCCACCCGGAGGGAGGCGGGGGGTGCGCGGGGCGGGGGCTGGCAGTGACCGAGGCTCTGGGAAAACGAAGGATTCTCACCGACCCGGGCGACCCGCGCCTGGCCCCCAGGGTGGCACTGGGAACGCTGGGCCCCGCCCGCCAGGCGCCTGGAGGCCCCAGCCACAGAGCGGGGAGGCGAGTGGGCTCACCGGGGCTCGTCCCGTGGCAGGAGACCAGCTGCTCAGCGCGACCATATTCTTCGATGACATCAAATATGAAGACGCTCTCAAGATCCTCCAGTACTCGGAGCCCTACAGGGTCCAGTTCCAGATCAGACGGAAACTCCCTGCCAGGCAGGACGAGGACTGGCCGCCCAAGGGTGACCAGCGGGCCCCCAGGGGCCCCAAGAGGCAGGTGAGGCCCGGGGCTCAGGGGCCCACGCCCGCGGCCTGCCTGGCTCTCGCCGCGGCGCCGAACCCTACCCTTGTGCTTCAGCTCCAGGAGGCCCCCGAAGGCGCCCCCGGGACGCCCGCGACGCCCGCGAAGACGCTGGACGCAGACTCGGACCAGGACAGGCTGCTGGGCCCGCCCGCGCGGGACCGGGGCCGGCAGCCCCAGAGGGAGCGGCTGTCCTGGCCCAAGTTCCAGGTGGGGAAGGGCAGGCGCCAGCCGGGGCCCCGGCGCTCCCGCAGCTCCTCGGAGGCCCAGGACCTGTCCCCCACGAGCACCGACCCAGGGCCCCCGCTGCCCCCCGAGAAGCAGCCCAGGGGCCGGCTCCGCAGCCTGAGGCTCAGGCTGGGCGCGGGGAAGGGCAGCGTGCCCCCGGGGGGAGCAGGCACAGGGGCTCGCACCCAGCTCCTGCAGGACCCAGGGCCCTGGGATGAGGGCTGGGGGGACCCCGGGGTGGACGGGGGAGCCGAGGCTGAGGGGGAGACGCCAGGGGCTCCCCAGGCCACAGCCACACCCGGCACACACGGGCAGACGGCACCCAGCAGCTGTGGCACCGGTGCCCAGGGGCGAGAGGCACCCGTAGCACCCACGTGGGCAGGGAAGGACAGGGGAGAGGACCGCCGGGGGGACACCCTGCCGGGAGGGCGCCCAGCAGAGGGCCCGGGCACGGGGCTGTGTGACCTGGAGGCCGGGATAGCCCGGCTGTCCCTGCAGGACACGCCCCGCCGGGCGGACACCACGGGGCACACGCAGGGCTCACACGGCCAGCTGCGCGGCCCAGAGGCCCGAACCAAGGGGGACAAGGGCCGGGGCAGAGGGGCCGAGGGGGCGCAGGGAGCGGGCCAGTACGCAGGGGACGCGGGGGCCGGCCGGCCGGGGGACCCCGCCCAGGGGGGCCCGGAGCCAGGAGCCGCGGACGGCAGGTTCAGCATCGTACGGCTGAGGGTGCCCGCCTTCGGCGTGCGGACTCCAGCGCAGGCCAGAGAAGAGGCCGGGGAGGAGGACGAGACCCAGCCCAGTGGGAGGGCTGACCAGGGCCTGCGCTCCAGCAGCAAAGGCCAAGAGACAGCCTGCCTCAGCCTCCAGCAGCCACCCACTGAGGCGGACATCGCGGCCAGCCAGGGCGGCCGGAAGCTGCCCGAGGCCCAGGAGCCCGAAGGAGAGACCGGCCATCCTGAGCTGGGAGCAGAACTCAAGGGCCACCAGTCAAGGCTGAGAACCGGAGGCCTCAAGATGCCTAAGATGGACTTCAAGCCACCACAGCTGGACACCAGGGATCCCAATGTGGACACAGAGGGTGGCACAGTGGCAGTGAGGGTCACTGGTGTGGACATGTCTGTGCCCGGCTCACAGGTGGACGTCCAGGCACACAGAGTCTCCCTGGAGGGGGACATCGGCCTGGGAGACACAGAGGTGACCCCCAGGGACAAAAAATTCAAGATGCCCAAGCTCAGGATGCCTTCTTTTGGCATGTCCACCATGGGCAAGTCGGCAAAGGCTCCAGTTGAGACCAACATGTCGGTGCCGTCCATACAGGGAGATGTCCAGGGCCCTGACCTCAGCCTCCAGCAGCCATCAGACAAAGCAGACATTGAGATCGTCCAGGTGGGTGTGAAACTGCCCGAGGCCCAAGAGCCAGAAGGAGAGACTGGCCAGCCCGAGCTGGGAGCCGGACTCAAGGGCCACCTGCCCAAGCTGAAGACTGGCAGCCTCAAGATGCCCAAGGTGGACTTCAAGACACCCCAGCTGGACATCAGGGGGCCCAGTGTGGACAAGGAGGCAATCAAGGTTGTGGGCAGTGTCCCTGAGGGATTCATGTCCATGCCCAGCTCACAGGACATCCAGGCACAGGGAGTCTCTCTGGAAGGGGACATCGGCCTGGGAGACACGGAGGTGACCTCCAGGGACAGCAAGTTCAAGATGCCCAAGCTCAAGATGCCCTCCTTCGGCGTGTCCACCACGGGCAAGTCGGGGAAGGCTCTGGTCGAGGCCGAGATGTCATTGCCGTCCATGCAGAGAGATGCCTGGGGCCCTGACCTCAGCCTCCAGCGGCCATCCACTGAGGCAGACATGGCAATGGTCCAGGTTGGCCTAAAACGGCCTGAGGTCCAGGTGCCCAAAGGAGAGACCGGCCAGCCCGAGCTGGGAGCCATCAGCATGAAGATGCCCAAGGAAGACATAAAGCCACCTGAGCTAGACATAAGAGGCTCCGGTGTGGACCTGGAGTGCACAAAGGCAGTGGTCAGTGTCCCGGAAGTGGACATGACGGTGCCTGTCTCAGAGTTGGATGTTCAGGCACCGGGAGTCAATCTGGCAGCAGACATCAGCCTAAGAGACACGGATGTCACCTCCAGGGACAGCAAGTTCAAGATGCCCAAGCTCAAGATGCCCTCCTTTGGCGTGTCCACCACGGGCAAGTCAGCGAAGGCTCCGATCGAGGCCGACATATCGGTGCCGTCCATGCAGAGAGATGTCCAGGGCCCTGACCTCAGCCTCCAGCAGCCATCGGCCAAAGTGGACATCACGACGGTCCAGGTGGGTGTGAAACTGCCTGTGGCCCAGGTGCCCAAAGGAGAGATGATTCAGCCAGAGCTGGGAGCTGGACTCAAGGGCCACCTGCCCAAGCTGAAGACTGGCAGCCTCAAGATGCCCAAGGTGGACTTCAAGGCACCCCAGCTGGACATCAGTGGCCCCAGTGTCGACACAGGGGGTGGCAAGATGGCAGTGAGGGTCCCCGATATGGACATGTCCGTGCCCGGCTCACAGGTGGACATCCAGGCACAGGCAGTCTCAGTGGAGGGGGAAATTGGCCTGGGAGACACAGAGGTGACCTCCAGAGACAGCAAGTTCAAGATGCCCAAGTTCAAGATGCCCTCCTTTGGCATGTCCACCATGGGCAAGTCGGCAAAGGCTCCGGTCGAGATGGACATGTCAGTGCCGTCCATGCAGGGAAATGTCCAGGGTCCTGACCTCAGCCTCCAGAAGCCATCGGCCAACATGGACATCACGACGGTCCAGATGGATATGAAACTGCCTGAGGCCCAGATGCCCGAAGGAGAGATGGATCAGCCAGAGCTGGGAGCCGGACTCAAGGGTCACCTGCCCAAGCTGAAGACTGGCAGCCTCAAGATGCCCAAGGTGGATTTCAAGCCACCCCAGCTGGACGTCAGTGGTCACAGTGTGGACATGGAGGGCGGCAAGTTGGTGATGAGTGTCACCGATATGGACATGTCCGTGCCTGGCTCACAAGTGGACGTGCAGCCACCGGGAGTCTCTCTCGAAGGGGACATCGGCCTGGGAGACACGGATGTGACCGCCAGGGACAAAAAGTTCAAGATGCCCAAGCTCAAGATGCCCTCCTTCAGCGTGTCCACCACGGGCAAGTCGGAAAAAGCTCTGGTCAAACTCAACATGTCGGTGCCGTCCATGCAGGGAGAAGTCCAGGGCCCTGACCTCAGCCTCCAGATGCCATTGGCCGACGTGGACATCACGACTGTCCATGTTGGCGTGAAAATGCCTGAGGCCCAGGTGATCGAAGGAGAGACTTTCCAGCCTGAGCAGGGAGCAGGACTCCAGGGCCACCTGCCCAAGCTGAAGACTGGAAGCCTCCAGATGCCCAAGGTGCCCCAGCTGGACATCAGTGGCCCCAGTGTGGACCTGGAAGGCAGCAATGTGGCAGTGAGTGTCACCGATGTGGACATGTCCATGCCTGGCTCACAAGTGGACATCCAGGCACAGGGAATCTTGCTGGAGGGGGACATTGGGTTGGGAGACACGGAGGTGACCTCCAGGGACAGCAAGTTCAAGATGCCCAAGCCCAAGATGCCCTCCTTTGGCGTGTCCACCACGGGCAAGTCAGTGAAGGCTCCGGTCGAGGCTGACATGTTGGTGCCATCCATGGAAGATGTCCAGGGCCCTGACCTCAGCCTCAAGATGCCATCGGCCAACATGGACATCACATCTGTCCAGGTCGACCTGAAAATGCCTGAGGTCCAGGAGTCTGAAGGAGAGACCAGTCAGCCTGAACTGGGAGCCGGACTCAAGGGCCACCTGCCCAAGCTGAAGACTGGCAGCCTCAAGATGCCCAAGGTGGACATCAAGCCACCGCAGCTGGACATCAGGGGACCCAGTGTGGACAGGGAGGCAATCAAAGTGGTGGGCAGTGTCCCTGAGGAGTCCATTACCATTCCCAGCTCTCAGGTGGCCATCCAGGCACCTGGAGCCTCTCTGAAAGGGGACATCGGCCTGGAAGACACAGAGATGACCTCCAGGGACAGCAAGTTCAAGATGCCCAAGCTGAAGATGCCCTCCTTCGGTGTGTCCACCACGGGCAAGTCGGGGAAGGCTCTGGTCGAGGCCGACATGTCGGTGCCGTCCATGCAGGGAGATGTCCAGGGCCCTGACCTCAGCCTCCAGATGCCATCGGTTGATGTGGACATCACGACCGTCCAGGTGGGTGTAAAACTGCCTGAGGTCCAGAAGCCTGAAGGAGAGACCAGTCAGCCTGAACTGGGAGCCGGACTCAAGGGCCACCTGCCCAAGCTGAAGACTGGCAGCCTCAAGATGCCCAAGGTGGACTTCAAGCCACCCCAGCTGGACCTCAGTAGTCCCATAGTGGACATGAAGGGCGGCAAGGTGGCAGTGAGTTTCACTGATGTGGACATGTCCATGCCCGGATCACAAGTGGACGTCCAGGCACAGGGAGTCTCGCTGGAGGGGGACATCGGCCTGGGAGACACGGAGGTGACCCCCAGGGACAGCAAGTTCAAGATGCCCAAGCTCAAGATGCCCTCCTTCGGCGTGTCCCCCATAGGCAAATCGGGGAAGGCTCCGGTCGAGGCCGACATGTCGGTGCCGTCCATGCAGGGAGATGTCCAGGGCCCTGACCTCAGCCTCCAGATGCCATCAGCTGATGTGGACATCACGACCATCCAGGTGGGTGTGAAACTGCCTGAGGCCCAGATGCCCGAAGGAGAGACTGGTCAGCCAGAGCTGGGATCCGGACTCAAGGGCCACCTGCCCAAGTTGAAGACTGGCAGCCTCAAGATGCCCAAGGTGGACTTCAAGCCACCCCAACTGGACATCAGTGGTCCCAGTGTGGACATGGGGGGCAGCAAGGTGGTAGTGAGTTTCACTGATGTGGACATGTCCATGCCCAGCTCACAAGTGGACGTCCAGGCACAGGGAGTCTCATTGGAGGGGGACATCGGCCTGGGCGACACGGAGGTGACCTCCAGGGACAGCAAGTTCAAGATCCCCAAGCTCAGGATGCCCTCCTTCAGCGTGTCCACCACGGGCAAGTCGGCAAAGGCTCCGGTCGAGGCCGATATGTCGGTGCCGTCCATGCAGGGAGATGTCCAGGGCTCTGACCTCAGCCTGCAGATGCCACCGGCCGAAGCGGACATCACGACCGTCCAGGTGGGTGTGAAACTGCCTGAGGCCCAGGTGACCGAAGGAGAGACCGGCCAGCCCAAGCTGGGAGCCAGACTCAAGGGCCACCTGCCCAAGCTGAGAACTGGAAGCCTCCAGAAGCCCAAGGTGCCCCAGCTGGACATCAGTGGACCCAGAGTGGACCTTGAAAGCACCAAGTTGGCAGTCAGTGTACCAGATGAGGACAACCCTGTGCCTGGCTCACAGGTGGATGTCCAGGCACCTGGAGTCTCTCTGGAAGGGGAGATCAGCTTTGGTGACACAGAGGTGACCCCCAGGGACAGCAAGTTCAAGATGCCCAAGCTCAAGATGCCCTCCTTCGGCATGTCAACCACGGGTAAGTCAGTGAAGGCTCCGGTAGAGGCCGACATGTCGTTGCCGTCCATGCAGGGAGATGTCCAGGGACCTGACCTCAGCCTCCAGATGCCATCGGCCGACGTGGACATCACGACCATCCAGGTGGATGTGAAACTACCTGAGGCCCAGGTGCCCGAAGGAGAGACCGGTCAGCCAGGGCTGAGAGCCGGACTCAAGGGCCACCTGCCCAAGCTGAAGACTGGCAGCCTCAAGATGCCCAAGGTGGACATCAAGCCACCGCAGCTGGACATCAGGGGACCCAGTGTGGACAGGGAGGCAATCAAAGTGGTGGGCAGTGTCCCTGAGGAGTCCATTACCATTCCCAGCTCTCAGGTGGCCATCCAGTCACCTGGAGTCTCTCTGGAAGGGGACATCGGCCTGGGAGACATGGAGATGACCCCCAGGGACAGCAAGTTCAAGATGCCCAAGCCCAAGATGCCCTCCTTTGGCGTGTCCACCACAGGCAAGTCGGCAAAGGCTCCGGTCGAGGCTGACATGTCGGTGCCGTCCATGCAGGGAGATGTCCAGGGACCTGACCTCAGCCTCAAGATGCCATCGGCCGACGTGGACATCACGACCATCCAGGTGGATGTGAAACTGCCTGAGGCCCAGGTGCCCGAAGGAGAGACTGGTCAGCCAGAGCTGGGATCCAGACTCAAGGGCCACCTGCCCAATCTGAGGACTGGAAGCCTCCAGATGCCCAAGGTGCCCCAGCTGGACATCAGTGGACCCAGAGTGGACCTTGAAAGCACCAAGTTGGCAGTCAGTGTACCAGACGAGGACACCCCTGTGCAAGGCTCACAGGTGGACAACCAGGCACAGGGAGTCTCTCTAGAAGGGGACATCAGCCTGGGTGACACAGAGTTGACCTCCAGGGATAATAAGTTCAAGATGCCCAAGCTCAAGATGCCCTCCTTCGGCGTGTCCACCATGGGTAAGTCAGTGAAGGCTCCGGACGAGGCCGACATGTCGGTGCCGTCCATGCAGGGAGATGTCCAGGGCCCTGACCTCAGCCTCCAGATGCCATCGGCTGATGTGGACATCACGACCGTCCAGGCGGGTGTCAAACTGCCTGAGGCCCAGGTGCCCGAAGAAGAAACCGGTCAGCCAGAGCTGAGAGCCGGACTCAAGGGCCACCTGCCCAAGCTGAAGACTGGCAGCCTCAAGATGCCCAAGGTGGACATCAAGCCACCCCAGCTGGACATCAGTGGTCCCATAGTGGACATGAAGGGCGGCAAGGGGGCAGTGAGTTTCACTGATGTGGACATGTCCGTGCCCAGCTCACAAGTGGACGTCCAGGCACAGGGAGTCTCACTGGAGGGGGACATCGGCCTGGGAGACACGGAGGTGACCTCCAGAGACAGCAAGTTCAAGATGCCCAAGTTCAAGATGCCCTCCTTCGGCGTGTCCCCCATAGGCAAATCGGGGAAGGCTCCGGTCGAGGCCGACATGTCAGTGCTGTCCATGCAGGGAGATGTCCAGGGCCCTGACCTCAGCCTCAAGATGCCATTGGCCGAAGCAGACATCATGACCATCCAGGACGGCCTGAAACTGCCTGAGGTCCAGGAGCCTGAAGGAGAGACCAGTCAGCCTGAACTGGGAGCCGGACTCAAGGGCCACCTGCCCAAGCTGAAGACTGGCAGCCTCAAGATGCCCAAGGTGGACTTTAAGACACCTCAGCTGGACATCAGGGGACCCAGTGTGGACAGGGAGGCAATCAAGGTTGTGGGCAGTGTTCCTGAGGAGTCCATTACCATTCCCAGCTCTCAGGTGGCCATCCAGGCACCTGGAGTCTCTCTGAAAGGGGACATCGGCGTGGAAGACACGGAAATGACCTCCAGGGACAGCAAGTTCAAGATGCCCAAGCTGAAGATGCCCTCCTTCGGTGTGTCCACCACGGGCATGTCGGGGAAGGCTCTGGTCGAGGCTGACATGTCAATGCCGTCCATGCAGGGAGATATCCAGGGCCCTGACCTCAGCCTCCAGATGCCATCGGATGATGTGGACATCACGACCATCCAGGTGGGTGTGAAACTGCCTGAGGCCCAGGTGCCCGAAGGAGAGACTGGTCAGCCAGAGCTGGGATCCGGACTCAAGGGCCACCTGCCCAAGCTGAAGACTGGCAGCCTCAAGATGCCCAAGGTGGACTTCAAGGCACCCCAGCTGGACATTAGTGGTCCCAGTGTGGACATGGGGGGCAGCAAGGTGGCAGTGATTGTCACTGATGTGGACATGTCCGTGCCCAGCTCAGAGGTGGACGTCCAGGCACAGGGAGTCTCGCTGGAGGGGGACATCGGGCTGGGAGTCACGGAGGTGAGCTCCAGGGACAGCAAGTTCAAGATGCCCAAGTTCAAGATGCCCTCCTTGAGCATGTCCACCATGAGTAAGTCAGCAAAGGCTCCGGTCGAGGCTGACATGTCGGTGCCGTCCATGCAGGGAGATGTCCAGGTCCCTGACCTCAGCCTCAAGATGCCATCGGCCGAAGTGGACATCACAACCGTCCAGGTCGGCCTGAAACTGCCTGAAGCTCTGTTGACCAAAGGAGAGACCGGCCCACCCGAGCTGGGAGCTGGACTCAAGGGCCACCTGCCCAAGCTAAGGACTGGAAGCCTCCAGATGCCCAAGGTGCCCCAGCTGGACATCAGTGGACCCAGAGTGGACCGGGAAGGCACCATGGTGGCAGTCAGTGTACCAGACAAGGACATCCCTGTGCCTGGCTCACAGGTGGACGTCCAAGTACCTGGAGTCTCTCTGGAAGGGGACATCAGCTTCGGTGACACAGAGGTGACCCCCAGGGACAGCAAGTTCAAGATGCCCAAGCTCAAGATGCCCTCCTTTGGCGTGTCCACCACGGGCAATTCGGCAAAAGCTCGGGTCGAGGCTGACAATTCGTTGCCGTCCATGCCAGACGTCCAGGGCCCTGACCTCAGCCTCCAGGGGCCATCAGCCGTAGCGGACATCATGACCATCCAAGTAGGTATGAAACTGCCTGAGGCCCAGGTGCCCGAAGGAGAGACCGGTCAGCCCGAGGTGGGAGCTGGACTCAAGGGCCTCCTGCCCAAACTGAAGACTGGCAGCCTCAAGATGTCTAAGGTGCCGCAGATGGACATCAGGGCCTCCAGTGTGGACATGGAGGGCGGTAAGTTGGAGGTCTCTGTCCCTGATGTGGACATATGCTTGCCTGGCTCACTGGTGGACGTCCAGGAACCGGGAGTCACTTTGGCAGGGAACATCAGCCTGGGAGTCAAGGAGGTGACCCCCAGGGACAGCAAGTTCAAGATGCCCAAGCTCAGGATGCCGTCCTTCGGCGTGTCCACCACGGGCAAGTCGGCAAAGGCTTCAGTCGAGGCCGAGATGTCATTGCCGTCCATGCAGGGAGATGTCCAGGGCCCTGACCTCAGCCTCCAGATGCCATCAGCCAGGGTGGACATCATGACCGTCCAGGTGGGTGTGAAAGAGCCTGAGGTGCAAGTGACTGAAGGAGAGACCGGCCATCCTGAGTTGGGAGCCGGAGTCAAGGGCCACCTGCCCAAGCCGAAGACTAGCAGCCTCAAGATGCCCAAAGTGGACATCCAGCCATCCCAGCTGGACATCAGTGACCTGAGTGTGGACATGGAGGGAGGCAAGGTGGCGGTGAATATCCCTGATGTCGACATGTCCATGCCCGGCTCACAGGTAGTCGTCCAGGCACAGGGAATCTCACTGGAGGGGGACATCGGCCTGGGAGACACGGAGGTGACCCCCAGGGACAGCAAATTCAAGATGCCCAAGCTCAAGATGCCCTCCTTCGGCATGTCCACCACAGGCAAGTCGGCGAAGGCTCCAGTGGAGTCCGACATGTCATTGCTGTCCATGAAAGGAGATGTCCAGGGCCCTGACCTCAGCCTCCAGATTCCATCGGCCGAAGTGGACGTCATGACTGTCCAGGTGGGTGTGAAACTGCCTGAGGCCCAGGTGCCCGAAGGAGAGACCGGCCATCCTGAGTTGGAAGCCGGACTCAAGGGCCACCTGCCCAAGCTGAAGACTGGCAGCCTCAAGATGCCCAAGATGGACTTCAAGCCACCCCAGGTGGACATCAGGGGCCCCAGCATGGACCTGGAAGGTGGCAAGGTGGCAGTGAGTGGCACCGATGTGGACATGTCCATGCCCGTCTCACGCGTGGATGTCCAGGCACGGGGAGTCTCGCTGGAGGGGGACATCGGGCTGGGAGACACGGAGGTGACCTCCAGAGACAGCAAGTTCAAGATCCCCAAGCTCAAGATGCCCTCCTTCGGCATGTCCACCACAGGCAAGTCGGCGAAGGCTCCAGTCGAGGCTGACATGTCATTGCTGTCCATGCAGGGAGATGTCCAGGGCCCTGACCCCAGCCTCCAGATGCCATCGGCCGACGTGGACATCACAACCGTCCAGGTGGGTGTGAAACTGCCTGAGGCCCAGGTGACTGAAGGAGAGACTGGCCAGCCCAAGCTGGGAGCCAGACTCAAGGGTGACCTTCCCAAGCTGAAGACTGGCAGCCTCAAGGTGCCCAAGGTGGACTCCAAGCCACCCCAGCTGGACATCAGGCGTACCAGTGTGGACATGGAGGGTGTCAAGGTGGCAGTGAGGGTCCCCGATGGGGACATGTCCGTGCCTGGCTCACAGGTGGACATCCAGGCACCTAGAGCGTCTCTTGCAGCGGACATGAGCCTGGGAGTCAAGGAGGTGACCTCCAGGGACAGCAAGTTCAAGATGCCCAAGCTCAAGATGCCCTCCTTCGGCATGTCCACCACGGGCAAGTCAGTGAAGGCTCCGGTCGAGGCCGACATGTCGTTGCCGTCCATGCAGGGAGATGTCCAGGGTCCCGTCGTCAGCCTCAAGATGCCATCGGCCGACGTGGACATCACATCCATCCAGGTTGGCCTGAAACTGCCTGAGGTCCAGGTGACCGAAGGAGAGACCGGCCAGCCCGAGCTGGAAGCCGGACTCGAGAGCCACCTGCCCAATCTGAAGACTGACAGCCTCAAGATGCCCGACGTGGACTTCAAGGCACCCCAGCTGGACATAATGAGCCCTCGTGTGGACGTGGAGGCTGCCAGGGTGGAGGTCAGTGCTCCTGCAGTGGACGTGGACCCGGGCGTGGCCACAGTGCTAGCCGGGTCTGCCGAGGCTCCTTCCGTGCCGCCGACCCGCCTGCCACTGGGCCCCGGGGGAGTGTGTGCCTGGCCCCCGGCCGGAGACGCTGACCCACAGCCGCCCTGTGCTGGGCCTGGAGATGCTGAGGCCCTCGCTGTGGGTAGCCCCTTGGGCGCCGCCCAGGCGGGGGTGCGGCCGGCGCAGGCGCGGGACAGCTGGTTCCACCTGCCCAGCTTCCACCTGCCCGGCCTCCGCCGAGGGTCCTCCAAGGGGCCAGGCGGAGCAGGGGTTCAGGGCGAGGTTCAGGGGCCGCCTGCTGGCGAGGGGACAGCCGGAGCAGGGCACGACCCCCGCCCTGGGGCGGCCCTGAGCCAGGTTGTCTGCGCCCCTGTGTCCCGGCTACTCCCCGAAGCCGTGGCCGCCACAGCCGCCGCAGAGAGCGCGTCCTACGCGGATGTCCTGCGGCGCCCTGTGGTCAGCACAGGCTGGCCCCCACACCCCGCCCCAGCAGGC